CACCAATCGCTACAACTAACTCACATTGTACCAACCAGCCTTCTTGTTCCAAACAGGTCCGTGAACGCGGGAAGTTCAGATATGCAACAAAACAAATTCTGTGCATCTTTATGATATAATAGGAAGACTGTTATACACTACTAAAATACCGAAGCTAAAGATTGAATCTTGAATCATATGTTAAGTCATTGCGCATAAAGCTTAGATGTGCAACAAGACAGATTTCGTGCTTTTTTGGTATATCATTGGAAGATTGTTATATACTACCAGAAGACTAAAGCTAAAGATAAATCTTAAATAATAGGTTCCTTAAATGATAAGTTATGTTATTATGCATGAAGTTTAGATATGCAACAAGACAAACTTTGTCCTTCTCTGCGATATCATTGGGGAATGTTAAACACCGTTCATATACTAAAGCTAGAGATATACCTCAGACGATGTTGTGTCATTATGCATGAAGCCTAGATATATAATAAAAGTATTTTCATGTTTCTATGACATATTATCGGAAGAATTATATAGACTACTGAATCAGTAATGTTAAAGTGGCATTTTGAATAATAAAATATGTCATTATGCATGAAGCTTAGATATGCAACAAAGGAATATCATTAGTTTTATGGGATATAATTGGAGAGATACAACAAATTAGCGTGATTGTTGCTCATTTCCTAGCTTCTTAGAGACAGTCCTACACCATACCAAGAGTTTTTAAGAAAGCTCTCCTGCTTTAGTCAAACTTGTGTCATGTTAACTTCCTTTATTCCCTCCAATCCTCATGCTTTAACAGTTTACTATTGTCTAATGAAAGCATCACTTACTCGCAATATGATAAATCATAAAATTTTCGAAACCAGTTCTTCTTTTCATTACATATCTCAAAATAGCAGATGAATAGATGAGGAACATTTGATTCAATTTTCCAAAGCTTGACATTTAAGATGCACAGCACAAATATGACTTCGAAATATCTCGTGATTCAGTTTCAGAACGGGAGAAGAACATCGAAGTTTGTAGAAGCGCTTGTGATCCTTCTACTCAGGTATAGCTAGAGTGGTTCATTATGAAGTTCGACTACATCAATGACAGACGTGGAAACCTCACCCGTATCTTATTTTCATAATGCTCATATTTTTCCTTTCGAAGATTGTTTACTCGAGATTATCACTTCAGGTAATACATAATGGAAAAAGAAAGAATACATTATGTACAACATAACATTTAACTCGTTTCCCCTACGCTTCCTTTCCTTAAGCATCCTTTTCTTTTGAAGCGATTATCACGACCGTCGAAACTTCATACCCAAAAAGCAATACCTACAGTTTGCCAACTATAGAGTATTCGAGAAATCCTGTTCCTTAATAACTTAACCTACGAAGTAGGTAGTTCAAAGCTAATCGACATGGAAAGTTTTCGAGTATCCAATAACGTACAAGCAAACCTGCAAACTCATCCTTATGTTGCATATCGCCGGAGGATTTCGCCGGCCAAGAAGCATACAAAGACGCTAATTTTCAATCATTAAAAGTATAAACATTGTGTTAAAACACTCCGCTGTAGAAGAGATACATGTACAACTAATAACAAGCCCCCAACTCTCCAAACCCGTCCATTTGTTGCATATGGTCGGAGAATTTTCGCCAGCCAAGAAGCGTACAAGAAAGCCAAGTTCTCGCCCACTCGAACTTAAAGCTTAAAATCAAGACCAAAAGACTAAACCAAATCACAAAGACTGATATAACCAATCTCAACCCGCCAGTCTCAAACCCCATCCGATTGTTGCACATCTTCGGAGAATTCTCCGGGAGCGGCCCTCCTTAGTCAAGAAATCGAGCATCCACCACCACCATCCCATCGCCCATCCAATACCTCCTCCAATCCCTCAAAAGCACCCCTCTAACCAAATAAGCCATGATTTTCTGCCCTCTCCAACCATCATAACAAATCCTAAAACCCCACATCACATAGCCAATGATCATCATCAATCACAATAATACCACGCACTAAACCTCCTGAACCTCGCTAGTTCTTGTTAGTCTCTTCTCGCGAAAACTAGCGAGAACTCAAAAAATTGATCTGCAGAAACCCGTTATTCCCACTTTAAAATTCCCGGAAATATATAAATTAGGTACTTCGTTCAATTAAAAACCACAACCAATGACTTCCTTACTAGACTTTTATATCATAGCATTCGCGTTCACTTAGCGCACCCCCCAACGATAATCCCTACTATAGTAATTTGAACCTCGATTAATCATTCCCTACTCTTCGATCTACTCGCGCATTATTACCATCTAGATGGGCAATTGTTGTCAAATTGGAAGAATAGGCTCAACCCAAGTCAATTGAAGGTTGAGTAATGCCAAGGCCTAGATAGATGATACTAATAGAAACACGGGAAGATTGAGATATGCAACAAAACCGTTAACATGCAATTTTCATCCAATAGAATAGAAGAGATTGAACAGATTGAACAGATTGAACAGATTGAAACATTATGAGAGGGTAAAGAAGTGATTATATTCACTCGTGTATTATTACTCTCTAGGTAGGCAGCTAGTTATTTCCAGATTGGGGAAGTAGCCTCAACTCAATTTATGGTTTGGCGATGCCAAGATAAAGAAACTATGATTATGATTATAGAAAACACGGGAGAAACGCGATATGCAACAAAACTGTTAACATGTAATTCCTATGCAGTAGGATGAAGGAGGGATTGGAAGGGATGGTAAATACAGGAAGAATAAGATATGCAGCAAAGCTGTGAGATGTTCCTTATCCAATAGAATTAAAGACACTAGAAAACGAAAAGAGAACTCACTCAAGTTATAGAAAATACAATTAATAGAAGACACGAGATGATTGAGAAATGTGAACCATCTTCAAGTTGTGATGCCCGTCTAGTAGAATAGAAAGAATTCAAACAAGCAGAGAGGTTTCAACTGATGAACAAGACATAATTAACAGAAGACACGGGGATAATGCGATGTAATCTTACAACAAAACAAAAACCCTTGAGATGTAATTCTCATCCAATCAATAAGAAAACAAGAAGAATGAGATATGCAACAATCTTTTTAAATATAATTCCTATCCAGTAGAATGAGTCAATAGAAGAATGAAAGAGTGAAGAAGTCATAATGTAGAATATCAATATCGCTCACAATTTCATTATATAATACAATGAGAATAATATCAATAGAAAACACATACAGAATTAAATACATAATAAAACATTCAAAATAAGAGTTGAGGCCCTGACTTATCGCACACCACTCTTTTTCGTAACAAAATTCCCACAAAAATACTATTTTACTATACAAATAATTATTTAAAGAATTGATTTGAAAATTATTTATATAAAATTAATTATATAAAGAATCTTCAATTTAAATAATTTTTTGAAATTAAAAAAATTGATTATAGGTTTTTAAAATAGAAATTTTTTAAAATTTATAATATGTTCTACTTTTTTTATATAAAAAAATCATTTTTTTAAAACTTTTTAATAATTTCAATGTTACGGGAGCTGCCTCTAGGGTCACGTGGAAGTGTCTAGAGATCTCTCGAGGTGGTTTAGACTAGACTTCAAGTAGGAATTCAATGGTGTTGTAACTAGTTGCAATTCTCGTAACTATAGTATGAAACTAATGATTGTCTTGAGTACGAAGCTTTACATTGTAATGAAACCCCTTTCCTTATATAGACCTTCGTACTTTGATCGAATCGACAAGTCTACTCGACTACTCGAGTCGACAAGTCGAATCGACTTTCCTTCACGTGACACTTGTCCTTGTGACCTGGTAAGGCTACTGTTTATCTAACCTGTGCTTACTAATTAACCTATAGCCGCTGTGTATCCTGTGCCTACTATAGAATAAATGTTAACAAAAGATAGGTATTTATTTTTTAATTATTGTTTATTTATTTGGTTATTGTTATTTTTAGTTATTCTTTAATTCAACTGCCTTTACAGTACTGTTTTTGTAGGTTTCAATATCAAGGCCTTAGGTTTATCTTATAATCCATGTTGTGGTGCGGGTACCTCCGTAACATTCAAGTTTAAAAACCTATAGTTTTATCAAAAAAGAATACTAAAAATATTTCATTTATTTTTTTAAATCATTTCGATAACTCTCATATTTTCGTATCATTTTTTTAAATTTAATTCGAAAATTGATTGAATTAATATATAGTTCAAAAGTTGAAAAAAAGAAAAAAATGAGGGTTTTTACTATGTTTTCGCTTAGTGTGTACGATAAGCCGGGGCCTAAACTCTTACAATTCCCATTCAAACTCTCATTCAATCCCTCATTCAATTCACATTCAAGTATAATCTCATAAGTAAAAAATTCCTTCAAAAAAACCTCTCGCATACCAAATAAGAATCAGTCTTACATACGTACACTTCCATAACCAGAATGAAATCTAACACATCCACAAAAATCAAAATCAACATAATTATTAATATCTCCCTCACAAACAAACAAAGCGTTCTATTATTAAAACCATTTAATGCATAATCCCTACTACGATCCTTCACATAATATATAAGAAGTTCTCTAAACAAGAACAGAGTGTTTTATCTGAAGATTTCAAGGTTGATTTAATTGTATAAAAGATACTAGGAGAATGAAAAAAAAAATAACAGCTATAGGAAGGAAGAATGCGATACTCAACAAACCCTTAAAATGTACTTCTCATTCAATATCACAAACGTAAATGAAAGCATAGAAAAGTATCTAGATAAATGACTCATTATATTATGTGTGATCTAAACAAACCTCGCAATTACATCCTGTAGCATCTTCGGATTCCTTAATCATACCACTCTCCTGGGACTGCGAAACTTTATCAGTCATAAAAGGTATATTCGGCGAGTTAATCTAGTATCACAAATTCTCATCTCATATAATCATCCAAAATATTATCCCACCCCATCCCAAATTATCACATCAGCAATCACCAATATCATCACTCAATACCTAGAAACAGGATCTCAGATAATGTGTTCGAAAACGCTATATATATGTAACGCTGATCATTTTTGCTATACCCAGCCCCAAATTTCTATACCCAACCCTGTCCTCTCTATGTATAATCCCAACCTGCCCTCTATCCCTTTCCCACAATAAGGTTGAATCTTATAAGCACGTAATAGCTCTCCCCATCATGGATTCGATCATTGATAGTGATCTCCTACGCGCCTAATTTTCTGCACTTTGTGCTTTTAACCTATACTCTGATTGGAATAGATAATAAAATCTGATTCAACCCGCTCAAAAATCGCATCCTATAGCAGGCTGTCAAATTTTCTTATATCTCCTCTCACCAATAACGACCGTAAACCCATTTCAAAGCCGAAACCCATGTGCATATCCACACTCCCTGACCATAATCATAATGAATGGTATCAAAATATCTCTCAAACGCCGTCACCATTGTATGAGGATCGACCATAATGTAGGTCTCCTCCAAAATTATAAAAACCTTCTCAGTATATCCAGACGCCTTGAGAATGCATTTACTCAACTCCTTTCACATAATATTACAAACCCTATCTGAATGATCCGAATTTTTGTCCTTATCCTTAGCATCTATGTCCGTAGTTTCTTTGCTTCGCCTTTTACCCTTCTTGCTACCTTTACGGGATACTCCACCACCTGCTTCAGCAGGTTTCGTGAGATCTCCAGTAGTACTAGATTCGACAGGACCATCCAATCCTAGACTAGGCAGAGCAGGCACAGCAGGTATAAATTCTTTGCTCATGTCTGGCTTTTGTAGAGACTCTTTGCTTGCCCGTGATATCAAGTCTTTAAAGTATGACCTACGATTTTCGGTCTTTTCGTTCGAGGAACTTTGTGGTCGACTTCGAGATGTCTTGCTCCTCCGAAATGTTCTTGAAGTTCTGACACTGACAGGATCCTCACCTGGCGTAGCAGGAGCTGATTCGTTATCAGACCTTTCAACGCTGACACTACTCGCATCCGTGGCCGCAACGCTTCCTCTTCTGTCATCATCAGGAAGATTAAGACTTCTACGGGATCGATCAATTTCAGATGAAAATCTGACAACAGAGTTCGAACGATCGTTCGGTGGTGGGGTAAAATATCCTTCGTCGTCGCCGCTGCCATTATTCAAATCTGGACTTGCCTTGGAAATCTGTACATCTATACTTGGAACAGAAGAATATGTGTACGATGGAGGTGTCGTATTGTCGGAAAATCTTGCCAAATCTTCTGGGGAAAGGTTCGCCAAAATAGGAACAAATTCATACCACAAAGTGACTGGCATTCCGTATTTGCTGTCCTGCTTCAAAGCTGCATCAATGTCTACCTTAGCTACTCGTCCCCCCCTTGCAATGTCATCGTGGACTATCCAGCAGTCATCAACATAAGCTGGTGGATGTTGTTGACCATCTTTCGGTTGTACAGAATCCAAGTCACCTTTGGTCTCCACATCTAAGCGAATTAGCGATCTATAATGTCCACTTTCGAGTGATCCTTCGTGGCAAATCATCGATCGAAGTACTAGCTCAAAACAATCCGAGATTGCTATTTCGTTTGAACCTTCATATTCATGGACCAAGTGTTGTGGTAGCTTCATTTTCTTTGGGATATCAACATGGGTATTGTTCTTTTTCAGAATTTCTTTGCCGTCTGGTCCCTCGACATTGTGATATCTTTTCAGATCAAATCCCAGCATTGGATGATGGTTTTGTTTGATCCTTTCAACAAATTCTCGATTGTTTGCAGGAGCTGGTTTGGAAAACCAAACTATATCACCAATTAGTACAGGTACAGTCTTAGGTGGAGCAATATTTGAATTTAAATGGCAAGAAATTGGAGACCAACTACTGGACGGACGAATCAGCTTAGATAATATGAACGCGTCGACTTCTCTTTCTTTACGAGTAGACATGCGACTCGTCGTACGGTTTAATGACCCTCCATCATGTGTCGCCTCCCGAGTGAGATGGATGTGGGAAGATGACTGGCCATTCATCTCCATGTGGCCTGGAGATACATTGTCCGAGTCAGCTTCCGTGTTGTCGACGTGTTCCGAAGTTGTGTTTTGGTCAGTATTAGGTTCGGCTTCTGTAGTTTCCACGTGTTCTGGGACTGGTTTTTCGTCATCATCGTCAGGTTCAACGCGTCTCTGAATCTTGACTAAAGACAACAAGGACCGTTCTATACATTCTTCGAGCCGCAAACGACCCGGCCCCTCATGATCGGTCGAAATGGAGATTGGAAGCGTTCGCTCTTTCGAGGTTCTATGATCATCCTTTTCGCGAATACCACCATGTTCATAATCAACTCTCAAGTCAAGCATTGGCCAATCGAGAATATCTCCAATCTTCATGTGTGCCTCAGTTGGGTCTTGCTCTTTAAGTTTATCCAAGTCATCCCAGCCGCATTCGATCAAACTATCCAGGATACGTTCGGTCTGTTTGGAATTAGCAAGCTAACAAAGTATATGGAAGGCAAAACTAACAATGTTAACTTCAATCAAAATGCCCGATCTCATAAGGTTTACCCATAATCGAATTAACTGGATTAGGTTTTGTTTGAGAGGATCTTCGTAGAAGTTGTTGAGTAGTTCTTGAAATTGAGTAGGGACTGTAAACAATGAAGCCAGAAAAGAATCCAGCCAACAGGTAACTCCGCGAGAATTCTGTGCTCCGAGCATTTTTATTTTTGGATCATATGGATATATGACCCCGGAGAGCGAATTGTGGAATACTAGCAAGATTTGATGTGCTTTCTCGACATTTCCATTGGCATAAATTGAATTCAGACAAAACAGAATTTGATCATCTTTCACATCATTGTGTCCATCTGATTCCAATAGGCTTCTGATCCGTGAAATCTATTGTTCCATTAGCAGAGCTGCCTGGGTCGTTATGAACTAGTCCAACCTTTTCCTGGTCTTCATCAAGTTCCTTTTCCGACTTTGAATTTCTAATATGAACAAACAACGAGGTAAAAATGTCGGAAACTGATCGACTCTAGGATAGACAAGAATAAAGAGTTAGTAATTGTGAATTTAAAATTCTTTCATCGTGTCATCGTGTCATCCTGTCATCATTGCATCGGAAATGCGCCACGAAGGAGGGTTTGTGGGCGACTGCCAGCCTTCCCCCGCCCCGAATGCCAGGAAGATCAAGTAAGGAGATATGAATGTCGCAGGCGCATTACCTTCTTCTCGGTAGACTTCTCGGCCGACTTATTGTCTCTTGATTTATCTCGTTTGTGTGAAGTCTCCTTGTCTTTATCCTTTCTGCCGCCAAATTTATTCATGATGAAGGATGTATTTGTTATGCTCGCGAGGAGGTCCGTCTGTGAATATTATTGTTGTAAAGAGACCGGTCGAATGATTGGAATGATGGGACCCTGAGTTTTGATTGTTGATTCGAATTGTGTACGAGTAGAAATGGTGTATGATTCAACGTTGGGAAGGATTGGCATACTCCATATTCCGAAGACGAAGTAAATGAGTGATTGATTGCTTTTTGGAACCTTTCGCAGATGAGTTCGAGGCGTCTTATTGATCGTTAAAGAGTGTGATGTGGTGACTGATTTTGTATTGTAATTTGAGTGTATGTAGAGAGTTTTAAGCAAAAGCGGGTGTTGTTGTGATTGTGGTTGTAGTTGTAGTTGTAATTGTAGTTGTAGTTGTTGCTTCTTCATTTTCATGGAGTGGTTACCACTAGGTAATCTCGACTCCACCCACACCTGTTGTAGTTCGGACTGCGTACTTCGTAGAATCTTGGTGATCCTTCCCTCGGTGCAGAATGGAACTTTCTCCGAACTTATTTTTATTTTTATAAGGGTCGGACGATAAATGATAATGCTAATCCTTGCTGCATGACACGTGCATGGGGTTTGGGAACTATTCAAACATCCGTCAACCAATCAATCAACACGCGCAATGGCTTGTTGCTTCTTGGACTGAATTCAGAATGTCTTAGATAAGCAAGATTTACCTTCAAGATCTGGTTGCCTGATACGGAAAAATCAGGCACATCTCGAGATCTTTTTCGATACTGCTGTTGGGAGGGTCAATCATTGGATCCCTCGATATACCCCAACGACATGGCGTTACGAGAATTACCGTCGACATTATGTCGATTCTCGAGGAGGGAAATGAGATCAACACCAATATCGATAGGGAGAAATTGTCGCAGATATGCTTCTGGTGAAGCCGTTGCCGCAAAAGAGAGTCCAGAAGATTTCCAGGACCTCGAATCGCAATCTTCATTTGCTTCAACATCCGTGCCAAATGAAGTCATTGAGACTTATGACCCTGTCAAGAGGGCACAAGGGCGGAAGAGAGAACTTCCTTCCAGTCGGTACGATTGCGACAGATTCCTTGAGAAAGAGGGGCAATGCTTATACCTGTTATAGATACCAATTTCGATCACCGAGATACTATCGAGGTCCCCTCCATCCTCATCAACCTCCACCAAAGTCAGATCCTGCCTCTCGAGAATTCGTTCCTGGTCCATTCGGTCCCAATCGTCTCGAACAAACCTATAAATCAACCATCTCCCACGACATCATGACCATGGCATATGTCCATAAACCACCTGGAACCGTCACAATTCCCAAAGGCGATCGTTTACGAACATGGGACGATTCATCACCATATCATAAAGGTAGACCAAAGAGAGGTCCTCGTGGTGGAGATGTTTTACGTCTCATCGAACAAGATATTACTTGGCGCAACATTCCTAAGATTGAAGAAGTCACTGTTCATTCGATGGTTAAGGGTGCACTTGGAGATTCCGCATATATGCATGTCGCTGGTATTTTACTACAATCGATTACGGGTGTAAGACCAGAAATTCACAAGTCAACACATAACGTTGCACAATTCGGTATTCGAAAGGGCATGCCAGTTTCTTTAACTTGTACTATGAGAAATAATGATGCATTGGAGTTTCTTGATAAGTGTATCAATGTCGTATTCCCAAAAATTAAGGATTGGCAAGGTGTAAAGGGTGAGTTTATTTGGAAGATATGTGATTGAAGGAATGCTAATTTAGATAGGCTCAACTGGAGATGGAAGTGGAAACTTGTCGTTTGGTTTCAGCAGAGAAGGAACTATTTTATTCCCAGAAGTTCAGGTCAACTATGATGTAAGTTTTACATTGATGGTTTGCATGCACTTTCAAAAGCTAATCAAATTTTCTAGATGTATCCCCCTAGGTTGATTCCTGGATTCCACGTCACAGTCAAAACCACCGCAACATCCGATCGTCATGCTAGACTTTTGCTTAGCGCTATGGGAGTCCCTTTCTACGGAAAGTTGGTTGATTAAATTCGATCTTTCACCAATAAAGTGTATAACACGATATAAATCATGTGTAAATATAGCATGTAACACAAAATTATCATGTGCAGCACACTTGGCCTCAAGTTTCGTTTTGAATCGCGCAAATGATCGCTTACAAAGGGGATATAGAGTTACTAGAGAGGTAATCGATCCTGTCTTGTGTTTGACAGCCCCATATAATATCTGAGAGTACAAAGGCGTGAACGAACACATTCTCTAATCTTCGCGCCATCTCTATACCCTTCGTGCATTTCTATCCATCAATTATCTCAATCCTTCAATGTTCTTTACCACAATCTTGCATCACCCAGCCTTCATGTGGACAAGGTAAAAGAGACACTTGAGATATACACTCTATTCAATATTCGATATTAAACAAGTCAGATCTTGAATCGAAGGCAGAGAAGTCTTAGCGCCTTGTGATTGGCTTTATGTCCCACTCCAAAATATGTTCGAAATCACAACAACATTATAGAAATATCAGTCTTCCCAGCATATAAATAATCCTGTCCGAGTGAGTAATTTGTATCCCGCTTTCCACATCTGATGTTATATAGTCGATGTGTCTCGAATAACCATGCGCTATCCCTTCCAAGTTCCTCTATACCTGTACCATAATTGATATCAACTCTTCACTCATATTCACTCCTCAACCACTGCACTTCCCACCCTAGCTTCCCAAATTCTTTCCCCAAGAATTACATGCCTAAGTATATAAAGCTTCTAGAAACCCAGCTTGAGCTCTCTATCCTTTCAGCAAGAAAACGGATATATACAGGTGATGGAGAATGGCACTCGTTCTGGAAATGACTGTCCTTCCTCGAGCATCCCGGGCGTGAATTTCAACGAGTTTTTGATTGCATGTTAGCTCGAGTTTGTATTTGAATTTGCATTTTGGGTATTTTTCGTTTTTCGTTTGTTGTTGTTGTTGTTGTTGTTGTTGAAGATAATTCTCGCTCGTGTGTGGTTCTTCTTATTGTTGTCGTTGCATGGATTATATGACTATCGGCGGTCTAGTCTATTCTTTTTGAGTAGGTTGAAAATAACAAGACAGTCCATGGATTCTCATCACTTTTCTTCAACAGAAATGCAGAGGCAGATTACCAGATCGCAATCACCCATGCCTAATTAAGCGAAGGTAGGGATTGTTTCATTATTGCAGTTTTCCTTGTCATCTTGACTTGTAGGGTCTGAAAATTCAAGTCGATAGAGAAGATATTACAATGAGGTTGAAGATTTTACGTACGTTTTATACAGAAATTCGGCCGTAGTGAGTAGTTCGCATGAGTCTTCCCGATGATTCACAGAGCGCATCATCTTCACATATCTTTGCCCCTTCGTAAATTCACCTCTTCTCTCATCCGCCCGACTCCATGAAGTGGAGTCCTTAGTCTAATCCTCTGATCGCAATATAAATTTGTTCGTCTAGGCGTTTGGTCAAGGCAAATCCAAACACATTTTGCAGAAGAGATGAAGAAGGGGGGGGGGGGGTCCCCTGCCATCTTCCCTCTTCTTTCGTTTTTATTGGCACCCGCTACAGTAGAGCATATTTGTCTAGGTTTCTCGATGTATAATTTTGAGGAACTGACATCAACTATCAACAGTATTCGATTACCTGTAAACAACGACGATTTGAGCATAAACGACAAATATTTCCCAATCGATGATAAGAATCAGACGAGTGTCATTAGAAACATACAGTAGGTGTCTCGCCATCCCCGATCTCTATTACACCTGTTACTCATTACATGTTTGACGCAAGTCATCCTTCCAAAATCTCGCTCCCACCTCATTCTTCGATCGTAGCGTCGAAGAGAGGTGATTTTCATCCAATAACCTACAGTACCAGGGGGATCTTGAGAATGAAAGACCAGGTCGTTGTCTGTAACTCATGACCATTTATTTCTCTTTCGGGGGAAAGAGATGGAAGTTTTAAGGGGGTAGGCGAAAGATGTATTCACTACACATAGGCATAGGTTTCACAATTTCGCAAATGGTCTGTATAGTGGAGACTAGTCTATCATGTCATTCTGTTGAATCTTCACATGTATTCACTCTTTTTGCTCGAGCCCACTTCTCGAAATTCGAGTTGAGTGTTAAATGAACGAATACTGAATCATAAGAAATGACAAGTATTCCAATACCGAAAAGCAAACATTAACAATGCGTCGGTTCCGTGCTTCATTCCAAAGGATGAATGTTATGGCTTCTTTCTAGAGACCTCATTTAGAGAAGAGTTTTTCGGGATTGTGGTATGAAACACCCTTAGTGTTACTGTTTATATTGAAATCAGCATTGCGAAATAGTTATCGACAATAACCGAACACCGTAAACGACAGTGACAAAATAGCTGATAAGTAATGACACCTCCTTATCATTCCTTACGATCATATTAACTTCCAATTTTGATCTACGGCCAAGTCAAACTCGTAGAAAGGCACTCATGACAGTTATCCTCAATCCTATCGCGTATTTTGCCCATCTTGAGTTATAGTAGAAGTACAGAGTGTACGAGGGGAGATTTTGAAACTTTATATATCTCTAGAGTGGAAAGGATTAAGGAAGTAGATGGAAGAGGAGTCGTGGATGGGGATTTTCGAAGGAGGAAATAGTACATGAGAAGTGAATTTAACAGTGAAAAATATGAACAGTAGGCTGCGCACAAATTATCTATACCCGTGGATTATCTGCGGATAATCCGCTTTATAGGTTATCCATCAAAGATTCTATTCACTCTACAAATTATTTATTAAAACTTTAAAATTACCTATTTTGTATAAATAATTTATAGATTATTTATGAATATATAGGTTATTTATAAATAATTCATAAATATATAGATTCTTTGCTTTTTTCACTTAAAATATAAAGCTATTTTTAGATTATTTTCCAGCCCAAAAATAATCCAAATTTAGATTTATACTAATTTTTATATTAATTATAAAATTATATCAATATTATGAAAGATTATAAATAATTATATAATATATAGGTAGGTGAATATCTATAGATAATTTGTACTCGTTTTATGGGTTATCTGTCCAAATTCTGAATTATCCGCTCTGCAGACGGATTATCCACGGATTATCTGTTGAGGCTATTAGCCGCCCTGCGGGTACCCGTTGCGCAGCCTAATGAACAGTATGAGGAGACTTTGGATTATTGGAGCTAAGAGTCAGGACTCAGAAGGTGTAACTGGTCAATTCACCATCGATACCTCTCTTGCCACGCCATTCCCATTTCTTCATCTCTAGCTAGCTTCCCCTAATATCCCTCATTGATAGTTCGACCGGTATATAAACACCCACTTGACTAGCATCAATTCCTCATACACATACTCAGAAACACTCTGGATAACCCAATATGGAATTGTCTCCTGTCCATCTCTCTCGCCAAACCTTTGCTTTTCATTCTCATGCATGTATACTTGAGCTGATTCTTGTGATACGGGAATCTGCTGATGTTTTTTATCAAGTCTAACGAATTCTGTTAATCGTCGCTGTTGCTACTTGCTATTTTCAACACATTTTCATCGTCATACTATTTCCACAACATCAAGACTTGACATTGCAAATTCACAGAAACGACCATGTATTCGGACCTCTCAGCATACTAGAAAGATGACTCTGATATCATCTGTAGGTTCTCACTGCTCGTGTGCAAGTTTGATATAACTTAAAGCTTAGTTATCCTAGAAGCAATATCATTTTCTGCAGTATGCTTGCATTCGTTTATTGACATTAGAAAAGTAGGCTCAAGGAAGAGAAGTTTAAATAATGAAGTAGAACTCGGGCGCAAAAGGAAGAGAGCGGTTGGTCAATTGTTTAGGCGAGAGTATGCCATCAGTATTGAATGATTGGTCAGATAGTTTGGGATAGAGATACGGCGGCTCTAACCTGTGAGATCATGTGCGTGTAACTGAACAGAAGTAAGAAGTTTGCATTTACTGTTCATTCTTGCAGAGCTCGAATGCATTGGGGGATCTCTATATAAGAACTTTGCTACGTATGACTTATGTGGCATGCCATAATTTAGGATTCAAAGCAATGGTAATGAGAGCTTGGAAGGCTATGTAAAAGAAAGCTGCACTGTTATACGATAGAGCTGGATACAGATACTGCTATATAATCATCGTCTTGTTATTTAAACTCTGGTGAAACTTGCGGTATAAATATTTAGTAACGGGAGCGAACACACCACATTGGCAGCGGTGATATATGATCGTCTTTAACAAATTTCAATCAAAATACACTTTCAACATTATAACAAGTTATACCCAGAGTTGAGAAACACAAGATTGACATGTTGAATACAAACTCTCGTATAGATGGCTAAAGTATGGATGTGGCAGCCACCGCAACTCCCTTTTCCTTGACCCCGCTTTCAATTTACGAGAAGTTTCACAGAGGATATATCTATGTGTAAATAGAAACTTCGGACGATAAATGAATCTCAACAACAACAAAAACCACACAATCTCGACGACGATGAGAATTCTCTCCCGTAAATGCTGAAAAAGAAAAACTGTCTATCAAATACAGGCTTATAGTCCCATCAAATGGTAGAAGCCAGCAGTCCATCTCCTAGCAGCACTTCTCCTGGACATCTAGAGATGTCCGCTGTGAGAGCTCCCACCAACATGACATAGTAGTAGTGGTAGACTAGTAGTAAATTCATAATTGATTCAGTCTATCTATAGCTAACATGATGTATATATACACCGCTTCATGGAAATTCGGTAGAAGCACTATAAACCGATAATGAGGGCTAGGTTCGAAATGGGACCAGGGAATCTTCCAGAAATGGTATAGATACTTTCCGACTCTCCATCTCACAAAGAGTAAAAGTGTCTTGATATAAGACCGGCTTTATTAAATTCTTGGAATTCACTCGGAAATGATATGGAAATTATTATCTGGCTAGGAATACGCGTGTGATTACTTCAAAGCAAATGTTGAATTGAGGTTTGGTCCTATGAGAAAGAGAATGGAAGCATTCTGATCGTCCTTTATGCTATTCCGACCGAGTATAGCGATGATAACTTGGCCAGGAATAGGTAATCTAGTAATCTAGCGACAAAAAAATAAACACTAACAAAAATCACTGACGTGCAGAAATAACAGTTAAGACACACACCACTTACTCAAACCAAAACCGGCACTTTACATACCGCGATATGGAAGCTTACAAAAACGGAAAACCTACTCTTCGCTATCCCTCCTTCCACATGTGTCGATGTTCAGCGATCAGGATGATATACAGAAGTGTTCTAAGATGTTAGATTTGGGGTTTATACATCCAGCATGATGATTCTCGAATATTGAAGAAGTAAGAAGGACAAAACCGGAGGTCGGATGGGAGAATCTTTATAGTGAATTAGATAGTAATTACCTAGTCGTTTGAGGTTGTATAAGGGTACTTAGGTATATAAGAGATTTGCATGGAGAGTTAATTCATTCATTACCTCAATTATCAGCACAGTCAAAAAAGGTTTTCATGTGGTCACCCTTTCTGTGAAAGTGCACGTGGAGCCTCGTACTTTTATCTATCTAAGTAGATTTATCTCAGGCTCCAGGTCAACGTTCACGTTATGATAGCATAGTGTTGGAAGAGAAACCGCTCCGTCTGAAAGATCTTGTTAATGACAGTAAAGACAGATTATCGTTTATAGAAAACGAGAACGAATGATAATAATTCAGACATTCCGTCTGCGTATGTATGCAAGAGAAGCTTCCGGGCCTCGAATTTAGTAAGAGCGGGAAGTTTATGCACTCCCGACGTCCTCGTGGTTGCTACCGCGAGCCACTCACTAGACAGGTGGTGTATGAAGATACGGAAATGGGGACTTTGAATATAGTTACAAACGGCGCGGAAGGCTGAGCTGAGAAGTGAATACCATGTTGCAAAACTTGTTGCACATGGTTGATCATTCTATCCACTTCACGACGTCAAGTTTCAGAAAGCAGGGTGAGATTGAAGCTTTTCTGTTGCTAAAATTCTACCCTTCCGATAAAAAATGATAGAAGTGAAAGTAATGAGCTTACAACAGAGCAATCATGCTAAGCTTCTCCTATAACTTATATATGATGGCAAGAGTCAAGTGTGTTTCCCTCTATTCTCCCCAAATCGACGATACTAAAGGAGAGGAGTATGATAAATAAGTAGTATACTGGAAGAAAAGTGGTATATTAGCGGTACATTTAAAACAGATATCATAAGCTTACGTGTATATTAGCGAACGATGTGAAAATTGAAAAAGAAATAATGGACCTGATATCCAGGCTCCGGAGTGACAGGCGCAGTGCAAACTCCACTACGGAAAAATGATGCGAGTGCGGAAGGGAAGCTTTACATAAACCAGGGCATGTAATCGTCTAGGTTGTTGGATCAAACAAAGTTTTCAATGTTCGAAATTTGGTGACATTCATAGTAGAATCTTCAGGCTATTAAAGTTTTATGATCGGACTTTGATATTGACAGCTTTTTGTTAATGGGGCGAAGACCAGAGTATTGGATCAATCCAGCAATAGATCATGGGAGAATAGACTGACAGCTCTGCACTCCAAGTGATGAAGAGTTGCCTCCTGTTGGACCAACCTGCTGTTTAACCCCAATACCAACATGAATTATAAGAGGTAGCAAAGAGAATATGAAGAGAAGTTTCACGATGAAAGCTAGAAATACGGAAAGGAAAGACTTTCTTTCCTTGACAAACCCAAGGATTCACTACGAAGTGGAAGCAGTACACCCTCATGGTAAAAACCTCGTACCCCATGTCGTGTCTTGCGAGAGTATACCATTTTTCCTGGAAACCTACTACTAGGCGATTGAAGGGCATTAGAGGCGTATCTCTTTTCAATGTTGGGCTTGAAAATTGATGTCGCGGAGCCGAGAATAGAGACGATTCTGTTGGAAGGTCGTTTTGGGAGCTGAACAGCACCCTACAAGGCATATACGATTTGCCTCACAGCACAAGTATCGCATGATATTCCGAACTTGATATAACCCATGTTGGAAGCCCGACATGTTTGTGGTTACATCCAGCTCCTTTCGAAGGATTCCCTACCTTCCAGCCATGCTTGATTAGAAGGAACACAGCCAAAGGTAAGATTTCAATTGCCTAGCCATGATTTGTACCAACCATTCGGGTTTAGATTCAGACCAACCATTCGACCCGATCTAGGAATCAACTTAACTCTTAAATTGTGGAGTCGAAAGGCTGAGGCTGACATATCGTGTGTTTTGGGTCCAACAGTGGTTCATCTCAAAGAACATCCTAGACTATAAGCCTCATCCATATCTAGATACCACCTCAGCCTTACGCACAATCTATTTTGGTCGCCGTATACCCTACAGGCTCCACGAGACACAAAGATACAATGTTTTATATCTTCTTGTGGGAAGGCAGGTGAGGCTTTCGAACGCTCAATATGAGCAGAGGGAAGGTGATGAGGTAGAAAATTGGCTTAAATTGTAATCGAGGACCTCGAGGCGGCATGTCTATTTTTGTATGACGGGAAATCTAAGACCAATAAAGTATTTGGGGCAAATGTAATTCGAGCAATCGAAGCCAAGCCGCATTGATCGACAGCTAATAATAGTTCGAAGTGGAGTCGTGATTGGCGTCGATAGTTTAGAGTTTAGATGAATTCTCCCCCCTTATTGACATATTCTCAAAGAACAGAAGAGGATGATTTGGTCTATGATCTATGAAGGATTCTTCGTCGTGTTAAATTGTATACTCATTATTGAAAAGGGATGGTCTGATGAAGTAATCAACCTCAATTGCTTATGTAAGATCCTTGCACTGTATCAACTGATCCTTCTCCTAATATTGCTTGGCACCGCCTACAATGTGCAACCTCATTTTCGATCATCATCCTCCATGATTGGATATGTCAAGAGGCTGAGTTGTCCGGCAGGGACACAAGTCAGTTTCCTCCTCAGCCTATTGTTGGGTGAGAATAAGATCATGGAACGAGGTGAAATGGAATGAAATAAGTATCAATCTCCTTGCTGTTGCTCATTTTGTTCTCATGCTGGAAATGAATGTAATCTGGCTGTTTAATTGACTCACAAACGTACCACATCATAGCAAGGGAAGATTGAAATGAATCATAAAGACTTGGGCGGGGATAGGAAATGAACTCAACGTCAGACCTTTCAATATCTAAATGTCAAACCCCAGACCAAGTTCATCAACCCAATCACCAGCGGAAAACCAACAAATTTACGATTATCATTCACAGTCAAAGATGGCACAACAAGCTCAACAGCCTCAAAAAAGTCTCTGGGACCGTGAACCAGCCGATGTCGCAAATATGCCACCAGCATACACGCAAGAATACGAATACAAGGCGCCAGCTCAACCTCAACAGCCTCAAAAAAGTCTCTGGGACCGTAAACCAGCCGATGTCGCAAATATGCCACCAGTATACACTCAAGAATACGAATACAAGGCGCCAGCTCAACCTCAACCTACGTACCTAATGACTGATGGGAAGGGAGGGCCGAGGGAAGTGGTATATGTTCAGCAACAAAAGGTCGAGAAGAAACATAACGAAGATGATGTCGCTTTGGGATGTGCGGCAGGTTGCAGTTGTTGTGGTTGCAGCGTGATGTGAATTCAAGGTTGCAATCGTGGGTAATAGGAGTTATCGCAGGGTCATAGGGGTTTTTTTTAATATTGGGCAACTTTCGATAACAAACGAATACCATCGCGGGATCATAGAGTTTTGGGATATCGATATCGATTGAGATTTTGGGAAATTTGCGGCATACATCGACATATGAGCAATCGAATTTGGACATGATGGGAAACAGCAAATACCATGGATAGGATGGACTAGGTTGTCTGAGCATAGGCGTTTAGTTTTGGAGGCGGTGCCTTGCACCGATAATACTTCGTCAAAAGCTCTTCGTTCATTGAGTATCGTGTAACAAATATTCAAGGAAACTGGTGTATGTTGACGATACTCTCATCGACTTGTGGAATCTTAGACCCCGAAGTAGTCGATTAGCCATCGTAGGCTATTTACAATATACCAGTGGTATTGACATTAACCTACTTTCTTGATCGCTCTTTCCTGTCATTTTTCGGCCTGTTTAGTGAATCGAATTTTGTTCGTTTTCAACAACATTCCTAAACTTTATAGAATCCTTTGTGCTCCCAATTTTGCTATACTTATGTTCACTCTACTCCTATCAACTCTTATTGTATCATCATCTATTTTTATTGTTTGTGCTTCAATTCTCACTAATGCCTGCCCTAACGAGCGTACAACAACTCCAAAGATCAACATCACAAAGACCGCCAAAAAACGAAGAAGTACTCGCAACCTCAAAATTCAGTCTCGACCTCCTTCTCGACCCCATTCCCGACCTAGGTCTCCCATCTGAAATCAAAGCGCACATTTTTAATTACCTCCATGTCAAAGATGCGGGGTCCTTAAGATTGATATCTCGAGCTTGGGCTGTCACCGGGACTGAGAGACTATTCAGAGATGGCTTCAAGCTTTACCCTCATTGTCAACCAACAGATATGGATAGGCTGCGCAATGTATCCGAATGTCCGCATCTAGCTCAAACCATCAAGTCGATAATCATATTTCTGGATTCAAGTGATGCGAGAAAATGGACTTTTTATTTTTCAGATGCGAGAGAAATTCTTCGGAGACGAATCGCTAATGAACCTGGCTTCTGTGATCCCGTTCACTTGGCAAAAGCTTTCAGTAATCTTACTAATTTCAAAAGCCTCACGATTACCTCACTTAGCTATCCGCTTTCGGAAGATATGTTTCAATCGACGGCAACTTGGATTCCCAGTTGGAATTCCACAATTGAAGAAGAGCGAACACAATTCATGGCAGATGATTTGTCTCAATGGTATTACACTTCGATAGTAGCAGCGATCAATGCGGCTGGTGTGGCACTTTCATTTGTTGAATTTGATTGTCTACCCATGGATTGTTTATCATCCCAGGAACTGGGATCTCCTCCTTTTATTCCCCTACAGCCCTCCCTGCATCGACTTTGTCTTTTATCTGAATGTTCTGGCCACCCATACAGATCTCTCAATGGTCTAGTCACCTCCCTCGAGCAATTGTCAATTGGATTTTGGGACTATGGATTACATCCTGGCAGGATTCACTTGTTGCTCAAAGGATCATCGACCTTTTGATTTCGGCACAGCGTCTTCGGAGACTAGATCTAATGTTTGTAATGAATCTCTCTACGAGCATGACACCAGACTTTCAAATCGCATGGAAAAATTCATTCTACAGCATCACAATCCCTCATTTGGAAAGTCTTCGTCTTCATCAAACGGACATCCCAGGACCCCTTCTCATTTCATTCCTCGAGCGACATCGCTCTACTCTCAAGAACTTGCATCTCAGCGGAGGATATGGATGCGGACCTGGTAGTGGCTGGAACCACCTCACACGATTCCAATGGAAAGAAATGCTTACCTCATTAAGAGATATTCTCTCACTACAAAAATTCGAACTCCTGACCTATGACGATAGAAAGAATATATATGACTGGAATTGGAATACTGCTCCGGGGACAGATATCACGTTTGCGAAATTGTTGGAAAATTATGTGGTGAGAAAAGGTCAGTGGCCATTTTTGATGCCGTTGGAAAAATCGATACATGATTATTGGGGGTGGAGAGTTGATGCGGAGGTTTGGAGATTGTATTGATTTTGGGGTTTGTAGTTCTCGGTTGGATACTGGATGTGGAACGAGGTTTTCTATAGGATACTCACTGATAACCTCTGAAACCTATAGAATCAGATTGGATTTTTTTGTCTTTGTGTAGCGTGCTTCTGTGAGATCACAAAACCCCTTACTTATGGTCTTTCTTGTAATCGTCAGCCCAGCATAGCATCCGTTGATATGGCCACAGAATGACGGCATCAGGGTTTAATCAGGATATATTGCTACCAGCTTCCACCACTGATCAGACTACAAAGTCAACGAAATATCATCCGCACAATCAAGTTTTGTTGATGCTCTCTGGCAAATACTCGAATTTGATTATCTACAAAGTTTTCATTGCCAACATTATTAATGTCATCATTTCTGATACAACTGCTCGTCAAAACCCAGTGGAATACACGAGAAGAGTATGCCAATTCGCTTCTCGATGAGAATCAACCTCCCATCTCAGAGTATAGTAAGAACCAACATTGACCCGCTCCACCGTCGCCTGATAGGATATCGAGGCACCTTGAGTGATTTTTGATGCTATCAAAGGAAGGGTTTGTGGCTTTTAAATAGAGAGACCTTGAGATAATTGTGATATTCAAAATGATATTGAGACACGCGTGGTTACTTGCTTTGTAGGGTCATGTATGAAGTCGATTTAGTAGCTACTGGTGGCTGATCTTCAAGTTTTGCTGACACTACCTCGCTTCTCGAGAGCACTTCCACAGGTCGAGTTAAAAGGACCTTCGAGTTCCAATCAGTTTCAGAGATTAGAAGATTGCATTTATCAACACGAAGCATACAGGGTGTTCTTGTTTCGCTTAGGTCTTATTGATTGAATCAATATTACGCTTCCGGAAGTACGCTCGCGAGAAGTGCAGGAAAAGATAGTTTGGAGCGTATATCTCGTCTTCTCTCGTTCGATAGATAAGGAGAAATGACGATGAAAAAGAGGGGTAGAGACAATAGAATGTGAGATTCGGGGATGATCACACATTTATATTGGCTCGGGTGATAGAGGTTCCATTAATCAGTTTTTGTGTCATGGTACCAAAGGGGTAAGAGCTAAGTACGTTGAAACGCGGGCTTCAGATTGTGCACATGTCCAAGACCATTCCGAAAGTTGTTCTGCCTATGTGCAAAGCTGGAGTCTATCCTCGGTCTTTTCTTTATATAGACAAAAATCTTCCGGATGATAGGACCGCTGGGATTCACTCTTACATTTTTTCTTGTAGAGGTATCTAGGGAGCGGAGACATGATTCACGTTTTACTGGTGAATGAATATGAGATAAAATATAGGTATCCAAGTATCCAGGTATTAATAGAATCTTCCGAATCTCGATGCACCATATTCACAGACTCAGTTTGAAACCAATCGAGTTTAGTTCAAATCCGTTGCAAATTTGTTGAGAAATCTGCAAAAATGGTATCAAGTTAAAGTCCGGACACATTAAGCATAAATTAAAGCATACACTCAAACGAAGCTACGCCTGAGCTTAGAAAATCGATCAATTGGACGGTATATGAGAACATTGGGTCAGATTTAAGTTTCAATTTGTTTGTAATAGAATGTGACAGAATAACTTGCTTCGCTAACACATGGAATATAACATCGCTAAATCACAATCTCCTTTCGGATTGATCTCATCAACCATCAATCAGCGCCTTCAAAATCCTTCTAGTTCTCCACACCACCACTAGAATACAAGCTAGCAGCAGGCTTAACACTGTACGATTTCGAAACATCCACACCGAAAGCCAACCATCCGAAGATACCATCAGCAACCGTCTTACCCAAAAGCGAGTAGTTGATAATAGGATCCGAGGAAGGAGCCTCATCACCCAACACGCTATCTGCAGAGTTCAGAGTTGTTGATTGGGTGTTGGTGCTGTATGGAGAAACGTCCTCGACTTGGGTAATCAGATCTTGATCAAAGAACATTTGTCCAACGTGGGAGATGACACCGCCACCATAGGTACCGTTCGCATAGGTCGTTCCGTTGAAGTGGACGAGCACGTGGATGTGGTTGAAGCGAGAGGTGTAGTGACCGGGGAAGAGAGTTTGGAAGTGTGCGACACCTTCGGAGTCGGTTGGTTGGATACCTCGGAGGAAAGTGGCGTTGATGTTGGCGGTGTCGACATCGTTGCCGTTGGTTGAGGCGACTATACCACTGTATACACCGGTGGAATTGCAGTGCTTGATCTCGACAAAGGTATTGGTGACGGGATCGCAGGTAGACATGTCGATTACTTGGGTGTCGAGAATGAGATCGACTCCCTCGTGTTCTTCGACGATGTCTGCTTGGACATATTCACCCGAGACGTCTGAGCTTAGGTGTTAGAATTTGCTGATATTGTTGGATGGATATGGAATGTGAGCTTACAGTAAGAGCCTTGAGTGACTTCTGGGCTGAGAATGCAACAGTTGTTTCCGAAAATACAACAGATTCATCAGTGGTAGTGTCATAATCTACAGTAGACAAATGTGTGGTGTTGAGGACAGTCGCCTCATCTCTTGCTTTCAAGTAAGGTTGTTCTGTTCACAGAACAGATTAGCTCCTCTGTATGAATTGAAGATGTAGTGGAAAACAGTGAATTAGAACTCACCAGAGCTGATCCCTCTCTTCTTTCTCTCTTTCAGCAATGGCAGAGCGTCTTGCGACGGCCGCTTGCTCAAGGTCTCTAGCCTTTAACTTTGCAGAATAGTGGCTGAGATCACGGGTTTTGAGTTGAGATATGAAGGAAGCTCTCTCGGCAATCTCTTGTCTAACATCATGACCTGGATGAGCAATGACAGAGCTAGCCAAGATGGCTGAAATAGCAGTTGTTGAGAATTACATTGTCGGATGAGTGGTGGGTAATTGTTCAAAAGGCTGTAAATGCTAAAAGACTGGTGCTAGTGATGCTGAGGATGGGAAGAAACCGTTTCGAACAAACCGTCGTCGAATTTATAAATCTTTGCTCCTCCCCATGTAGAGTCTTCCTCCTCCAAACTTGTTGCCAGTGCCGAAGAAGCTTACGAATTCATCTTCAGATGGCAGTCCAATATCCCCAGGGATTGAGCATAGGATAGATTAGGTTCTACGTATCCGTTGCCACTTCAATTGTAACCTCCATCTCATCACTTGCAAAAGAAGAAGAACGACATCTTAAACAGTCTCCATAGCATGTCACTGGCGACGTCCCGCTAGCACCAGAAGAATCGTAACAGTATGTCACTACCGGCGTCCCACTGGCAGTACGATCGCAGAAACGCAACATATGGGCTTTCCAGGAAAGCTCCATGCAGGTACCCGGCCCCGTTGTTCTTGGCAGCCTATGTAATAACCAAAATCGCACTGGTATTTGTCGAGGTCAGTGCATCGAATAGAGATATATTTGCAACAGGATACATTTAATTGGATGAAGGAAAAAAGGATGACGGATTGAATGAGCCACATTAGCACGGCACCCAATGCCGTGCTAGACAGTTGACGCGAAGTCTCTTTTGAATAGTCTGGAAAGTGGGGCAACAAGGCGCGTTATGGGACTTGGCATTGAAGCATTGCCGCCAAGGCGAGAGTCGACCCTGCTCCCGCTTAATATTTTATCAGCGGCTATTACTCTCTTGAATATTGAGGTCTGGATGTGTATTTTCAGGTTTTGTATCTTTATTAAAGAATTATATTTAGCCTTGAAAGTGGCTGTATATGTAAATTTCAAGAAAATCGGTTCGTCTTTTACAAGATCTTGGGGCTCATCTGGATTGTACCAAAGGACTCCAAATCCAATTAGTTGTCTCATATCCGATGCTTAATCTGGTGCCATGGTGATTAAGGAATATCTTGATGATAGTGACTAATTCCCTGGTCCAGATCTATCGATTTTTGGGAATGTAATGTAGCCATGAAGTGTGAGCACTTGCAAGTTCTCAAGACCTGTGAGTTATTCATAATGATGGTAGCGAGATGTGCCTTTTCCCACTTGATCCCTCCAACCTTATTGGGGTATGATTGGATCAAACATGAGTGTTCTTCAAATCAATGTGGTCGTCGCTTTGGCCCAAATAATACATCCGCAGACAATCGAGCAAATCGCGATTTCATTGAGTCCTATGACTTCAAAGCGGTGACCAGATATGAGATAGTTTTCCATAACTGATGCATCAGATGTGATGGGCTTCCTGATGTACCATCAAATATCCAGCCGAGCCAACCCCGTACCGAGAGGAGAGTTAGGTGGCACAATATCTCATGCAAGTAGAAAAATTCTGGCCAGTTTGTGATAGCATTCGACTCAACTCAAGACCCTATTTCCTGTGCAATAACTTTCTGAAATCTTGAGGAATATGTAAAAGTGACAGTAAGAGTCACAAGTATTGGAATATCTTTCCTAATATTGATAATCTCTCGGTGGGTAGGTGGTAATCAAGGTGCCAGCATTCAGAGACGAAATGCAGTATCAAGTGAAATACGTGTCGTGGAGCAGAGTGAATGTCGTAAAATTCAAGCATGAGACAGCGAAAGTTCTCTGTTAATATCAAAATGATAAGCTGCCGAAGTACGTGAGGTCTGAACGAATTCCCAATGATGCAATTGGTTAAAGATCTTCCGGTATAGTTCTCGATATCTTGAGTCCAGGAAGAAAATAGTTTCGGGGACGAGAAACAGCTGTCCATCGTTATGTATCAAATCTTGATTTGATAACTGCTTGATAATTTTCTGTCCTGAAATGGGTTGCCGGAGGGAATTCTGCAACATTCATTCTCCTTTGGGACTGCAAAATATTATGTGACCTCCGCATCACCTAATCTTATTGGGAATCATTGGTTGATCCGAAGATGTGGAAAGTGTTCCGCTTTGGGAGAGAATTTTAAGTAAGGTTCAAAAAACAAAAATAAATAGAGTTTCCACCCCGAGCTAGATTGGAAATCCAAAAGGATTCAGACAGCCGGCGCAATCTTGTGTCTCTGAACGTCAAGAGGTGTTTCGAATCCTGGTAAAATGAGTGGAATTATCTCCACGAGAAGTATTCGGCTTGAATCCTCTGATAATTCAGCAGGCCCTTTGGGTGCTCAGGCTCTCGCGTGCTTGGCAGTAATGTCTGAAGTTGGAATTATCAATTTTCAACCCAATTTAGACCGAATTGCGTGGTTCAAGGTCCGAGAAGTAGAGAATCAAACTCCGGTACACTAATCATGAAGAAACATGTATAGAATTCAAGTGAAAAATATAAGATCTCTCTCCGCTTTCAATTTTGCCGAATGATTTTTGAGGGCAATCAGGATGACGAAGTGAAAAATGTCCACTTTCCTGAAGAGTCGATCCTCCGCATCTTACTATGCTGGAAACGCATGGCAGCGGCGTGGAATCTTCAACAAGCCCCATATTTCGTCATAATAGCATGGTGGTGCGTGTTTTGATGCCCATTGGAAATCAAGGTCAGGAGATGCAACAAGAAGGTTAAAATTTAAACCCTAGAATCAGTCATGCCCCGGTCTATATAAAGCAAGCTATTGCAATTTAGGCATTATGCAGAGCAGAACCATGATCTTTCTGCGCACATCATTTGCTGGTAAATGCAGGATGTGATCCTAGTCCAGTAACTTCCGCGGGGCTGGAGGAATCCGTGTTCACGCCTATCACTCATTTATATAACAGGTTTGCTCGTGCACCTGCCAGCAGAGCTTGTGGCATGCATCGCAAAGTATATGGCAAGGAAAAGCTAGATAGATCCTTGGATAGAATGCAAAGTCAACTACTGCGGCTTACAGGACTGAGTCGTGCAAGCACCCGTCCGTGTCGTTCTTTAGGTAGGCAGTAAGTGAGATGTCAAGCTATTGAGGTACTTAAGATGATTCTAGACCCTCGAATTTGATCGCATGAGCAAAGGTCTGCATGCTGATAAGGGAGCAGGAACTGGCATTAGTGTTGCTGACTTTGAATGCCCGACGCGTTGAGTTGCCAAATTTGCAAGTATTGATATTTAATTAATATGTCTCTCGATTGGTAGAGCCTCGATGGGTTTATGGTAGCAGTCCAGTTGTAGGTGGGATCGTATCAAGATACGGTAATTAATATCTCCCTCGCTCATGTTGTCCGTTACGAGAGTAGATCTTGGGCAATCATTCTGTCAAGGCTTAGACCTAATTCATGGTCGCATGACGACACTTCAGATGAAGGTAAAGCCCACACTGTCCCTGCTCTATCTCTTTAACAATAAATAAGTAATCTCCCTCGTTAGGATAGATCCTAATCTTGAAACAGTCAAAGATATATCGCCGTTATGGACTTTCCGCACAAGGCGGCAAGAACGGAAGGTGCGGTGGCAAATGAATCGGTCATGCTGTGGAAATTTGGTGCAGAACCCCATTTCCCAGCGATTTAATCCACCATAATCTCCGCGCTACGGCTGTATTCAAAGGCCGGCTCGGCAAAGATTGCTATCGGTGGCAAAGAAACGATAATGGTAACTCTTGCATGATACCGAGGGCTCAATCTGTAACTGTCGCACCATTTTGTGTAGTAAACATGTCACAATGAGACGTGGCACCATGCGTTGAAGATCATGGTCTGTCATACTGTTTGTATATCTGGGTCTACACTGAGCATGTAATACCCAAAAATTCTGAATCCCATCATGTATTTTATGTAACTTTGATTACATATCTTCAACACCAATTTTGAAAAGGGTATTCGGAGAGCAAGTAATAGAGTTGGTCGACCCAGATCCAAATGAGGGTTTCGTGGATCTTGTGCCATCAAAAGGTACTCGGACCTCATGTAGTCTTGTAGTCTTGTAGTCTTGTATCGCGGCCACATCAAACTTGCCTAGAACAATATAAGCGCCTTGTAGTGCCATGCACAACCATATGTGGCCACTTTGTGTGATCTTAATCTGAGATCAACACAAATCTGAAGAGTAAATTCGCACTGAGTGCGGTAATATTTCCAAACGTTAACCCGGTGTGCATTGTGTAACGATTGGCATTGGAACTAGCTACCTTATTTTCATGCAGTGGTCGTCAATTCGTCTCAACACAGAGATACCATGCTTATATCGAGTATCATGCCCATCTAAACTTTCCAGTTTTAGAGGTCGAATACTACTCCAGTACATGTAGGATTCTAAAATTTTCCACAGGCACGAAGTAATGGTAGTATGGTGGTACCTTTTGCTTGTGATCGCACGCAAATTTATGAAAAGATATATTTAATTGTGACAAACCTGCAAATATAAGCACAGATATCACTAAAAATTCATGGTGACACATAAAAATATGACGATAATCGGCTCACTCGAATCAGAGCAATTAGAGCGATTACCAATAATGCAAGCGCACATATAACCAAATCCGTTAACCGAGCCAGATTGATGGGTCACATCTACAAAACTAATGCACCCCACTACGGTCCGTACCCCTACTCCGAAGCTCCTTTTTGACTGAATTAGGGTTCGGAGTATCAAAATGCATTCGGCTTGAATTGTTGAGCACCAATCGATGAGAGTGGAGCTGCAGATCAACTCCGGACTTAGAATAGGTGTATGCTAAAGATTGAGATTCACCAAAAGTGCAAGATTTGGTAATATACTCCAAAGAGTAATCATCTAGCCGACCTCGGTTCTTTTTGTCACCTGAGCAAAGGTGGGGTAACTATTGCAATTACCAATTATCATCTTTACTACCAAGCTTCTCGTTCAATATATATACGCATCCGGATTTAAATGAACATAAAAAAATGATTGGTATCGCTACACCTAAATAGCTTGGAACGCACCCCGAAAGCCTTGCCCAAATGTTGGTTATATAAATGAAAGGATGAAGTAACATCCAAGAATGCAAATAACTTACACGAGGTCTCGAATCGACTCAGCAGTCTGTGGTAAAGTTTCTTACCCTTTGCCTCGTGCAACTTCCGGAGTCAAGGCATGATCCCATATGCATCGGTTTCGTATAACGGGATATCAATAGGGACAGTTTCGTCATACAAATGTAGATAAAACCCTCTTCTCCACGGCAGGTACGAAAGTAAATCTTGGCCACCTTGCATTTTGAATTTCTGACAACCACTCCACAAAATCCCACTAGTGACTTTATTCCAAAAGTGGGTACTAAAATCCTTCAACACTCGTGTATACATCGTCTCATATTGCCAGACTTCGAGCAATAGCCCTGCATAGCACTTTTGTTCACATCGCTAAGTCCTCAAAGTTTGTGTTTGCCGAAACATCACTATGTCTTCAAGATCTTCTACCTCAGAACCACCAACACACTCTTTTTCAAAGCCAGTCCGCTGTTGTGTCAATTGCCACAAGACAGAAACTTCCATGGGAAGCTTTCCCAGTTGTGAACGGTGCAAAACTACCTACTGCTCTCGCGATTGTCAGAAGGCCGACTGGCCAGCGCACGAACCAAATTGTAAAGAACGCTATAAATTCAGTATAACAATACACGGCGATAACATTCCAGACGGTTTGGATATCGAAGCTTTAAAGAAGAAAGCCGAACGAGATGGTAAAGAGTTCCAGTTTATACAATTGCCTTCGGGTCAAACGGGCGGCGGATCGAAGGGAGAAAAGAGGTAGAAAATTGAGCTTGGCAAAAGAGGCCATCACATTGATGATTGGGCAGATTTTTTGATGCTCTGATCTAGTCGTGGTGATAAGATATTTGGCCAATGCAAGGATCACGACGAATGATCTGCAGAGTGTGGGCAGTGCCGTTAGTTGGGAAACAGGAGGAGAATTGCTAGTGGGCGATAGACGATCTTAATGGACTGAAATAGGCTCCCGAAATAGCTGGATGAGGCTACTCAAGCATTATAAGAGGCGTGATATAGTAGGCGTTCCGGGGGGTTTTTTTGCAGGCGACAAGAGCGATGGATGGTCGGATTCGATGCGACGTTGAGAAAGCGCGTTGTGCTACCAATGTGACATATCCATTTCCATAGTTAAACAAATGTAACATAGAAATGTGACATGAGATACAGCGATATCGGAAGTTCGGAGTTAATACTGAGTATTCCCAATGGGTAGTCAGGGCCCATCAATGAAAACCTTTCACTATATGAAGACGAATCAACCTTCAAGACATTTTCGATCGATTTTCCCTCGTTTGACTGTTGAAATAGAATCCAGGGACGGAAAGTTTCTGAATGTTGGAACTTAGTCCGGCCCGTTGCGCAATCTGATTCCAGTGCGCCACCTGTAACAATTTTGGAAGTACCAAATCTCCAAACTCAAACATGCGCCAAGGCATGTATGGAAAGAGGTCTGGAAAGAGGGACCTGTACATCGTAGGCCACAGAAGAAACTCCAACAACGTCGATGGTTACATTATCAAGTTAGGATAGTCACCTAGAGATCTGAAGAAAGAGTCAATTGGACTTACACTATCATATTCACCATCAAGAATTGAAGTGAAGACTCATATTATCGAGTTATGGGAGCTCGATGTTCAATCTCAAGAACTATTTTCCGTTCTCACTAGCATCATTCAAATCCCACAGTCTTCTTGAACAAAGCCAAGATTGACCTTGATACATTTTGAGTCGGAAGCCTTTTCGGTTCCGATAACATCATTCTCTTTCCCAGCTCGTCGTTGACTCTCAAAGGTGAATCATAGTTCGGAAAGACCAAGAGCCAAAGCTAGAATGCCAACTCTGCGGTATCTATACACAAGACAATTCGATATTCCTTCGGTACAATTTTCTGTTTGGATATAATCCGGTCATTCTGGGTAGCAGAACCGTATGTTCTTAAAGCCATACGCCCAGGTGACATTGGCCAAACAATATCATTTCGAGACGATTCCTGATTCATCAATCTTTCTATCTGAGTCGAACACTTTCAAGCATGGATGTTTCAGTCTCATTCCTTCTGCTCGAGACTACATGAGGGTCTGGGTTGAACTGGCATCGGTTTATGTCCACACATAACCTTGCGCTAGACAATGTTGGTCATGGTGCTGCGGGTGCAAATCCATAAGTCCAAACGCGAATGTCAATCCAGCAACAGCGAGAAGTTTCTTGCTCTGGTCGTAGAAAGGTAATCAAGTGCTTTTGGAAGTTGAGACAACCCATTTCAGAGGTCAAAGTTCCGAAGTTCGAGTTGAGAGACTTCGTTTTTCATGCCTTTGAAGGAGGAGAGGTGTTAGTTTGGCGTATTTGTGGATAGGAACTAGCAAGATAAGATTCTCGATCGATTGAGAGAATATTGGTTCGTACTATAATGGGCTTAAATCATGATGTCATTCTGAGATCATGGTTTGAAAAGGTTCCGCTTTTGGCTGCGGGAGGACCCGAGTCTGAAGCTTACGATCAAGGAAATACAAATCAACACGTGATTTGCGCCTTCATATGGTGACTTTTTACTTATTTTCAATAAGCCGTGAGTGCATTTACTGGAATAGAAGGTCATGTG